TAGAAATAACGTATTTTAAATTTCAGGTCATTACATACAGTTAGACAAAAATCCATTAATTACATCCACGACTTTTTAAGCTGAAGGTATGTTGGATGTCCTCCGATGAGTCATCAGTAAGTTTACACTAAAATCCGGGGTTCGATTCCATAAGGTGGACAGAGAGTAGATAGCCCAATGTGTGGCTTTGCACTAAAACAACAACAACAAAACAAGGATATGTTGATATCCAAAACGTTGAGGGTAAGGGTGATTGTTAATAAAAAATGGCATATGCTACGAATAGTTATTTTGTTTGTTTTAAGCGCAAAGCAACACAATGGACTATCCGTGTTCTGCCCCCAATGGGTATCGAAACTCATGGTGGACAGAGCAGAGATAGCCCATTGTGTAGCTTTTTGCTTAATTAAAAACAAACAAACGAATAATAATGGCTGGAGACGGCTTGAATGGGTAATGAAGAAAAACTTTAATATAAGTTTAACATAACAGCAAATGTACAACGTTTCGACAAGGTTTTGTCAGCATCAGGTACTAGTCTCAAAGTGGGTTCCCCGTCATCGAATTTGAAAACAAACGAATAGTTATTTTCCTAAGTTACACAACAAAAATCCATCAGCCTTTCTAGTGTTGGTGTGAGTAAAGATAGGGGGGGTACTCTTGGTGAAGGTGTCTTTTAAATTTAAATTTTGAGCATAGATAATATTTATCAACGTCACCAATAGAGGTACACGTTGCTTTGTAACCAAAGTTTAAACGTTAAATTTATTTCTAAAATGGAGTAGAACTAGTAGAACGTGTTGAAATTCGACAAAGTTGGGGTATTTCACTCATTTCGCACTCTTATCTAACCGCACAAAATCGAATATTTGGCCAGATGTGCTCTTTCTAGAAGTTGTTTTAAAACTAAAAACCATCTCTGGCAATGTTGATACTGTAAGTACTTATTTCACCTTCAGCGGTTTTAATCAGCCATCCTGTACATGCACCTGTAAACAGCAGAACGATTTTATAACGCCCCTCCTTCAAAAGTTTGAAATAGTCAACCATGTTTTTGCACTTGTTAACAGAATTCTCAGAATTCAACAAAACATTGAACTTATCAACAAAATGTCAGAAAATTACCCACTAAATCTACGGGAAACTCAAATAAATAAAAACCAAACATGTTCAAACATGCTTAATGTTTATTGTAACATATTTTTTATATTTTCATAAAACGACATAAACTGATTTTTAGAAAATCATTTTGATATTATAGCATTACACGAGAATAGTCGCTCTTGCTATGCCTAACATCTATACGTATAATTATTTGTTGTTTTTTGCGAATTTCTTCTTCTTTATGTTCATACACAATAGACAGACATCCGCTTTCCAAATGATATTATTGTTCTAGTAGACTGTGTCAAAAATCGAGTAAATATATAGAGTTATGGTATTTCAAGTCACGATCTAAAACTAAAGACTATCGAATTCACATTAGAAACGTTTCTTCATAAAACTTTCTTCTAAACAACTTTTTTTATATATTTGCACCTTCAGGGACATAAATGTTTACCCGATAAATGTTTATAAATGTTTACTCTGGTTAGAACTACCTAGGGTTAACCGTGAGAAAAACGTGGCTCAGCCAAGTCCATCCCCTACGAACAGACATCTAATTTCCCAAATTATATTATTGTATATATTGTGTAAAACAAGATTAGAGTACATAACATTAGGACTGAACTCCTGAGAACCATGCCAGCATTATATAAATACCTGATCACTGTATAAACACAATATTATATATTCTGAGCACTATACAAAAACTATATGCCTCTAGCACTACATAGATACCGTATGTTTTTAGCATTATACAGAAACTATATGTTTTAGCTCCATACAGAAACTGTATGGTTTAGCTCCATACAGAAACTATATGGTTTAGCTCCATCCACAGAAACTATATGGTTTAGCTCCATACAGAAACTATATGTTTTAGCTCCATACAGAAACTATATGTTTTAGCTCCATACAGAAACTGTAGTTTTTAGCACTATATAGCTACTATATGTCTTTAGCACTATATAGATACTATATGTCTTAAGCACTATATAGATATAATATGTCCTGAGCATTATATAAGTACAATATGTCTTGAACACTTTATAAATATTATATCTTGAGCACCATATAAAACTGTATTCCTGAGCACAATATAAATAATGTATGTTCTGAGCACTATATAAGTACTATGTCTTGAGCACTACACAACTACTATACATCTTGAGCACAATATAACTACTATATGTCCTGAGCACTATATAAATACTATATGTCTTGAGCACTATACAAATATTATATATCTTGAGAACTATATAAATACTGTATGTCATGAACACTATATAAATACTATATGTCTTGAGCACTATACAAATATTATATATCTTGAGAACTATATAAATACTGTATGTCATGAACACTATATAAATACTATATGTCTTGAGCACTATACAAATATTATATATCTTGAGAACTATATAAATACTGTATGTCATGAACACGATATAAATACTGCATGTCTTGAGCACTGTATAACTACTGTACTTCCTGAGTATTATTCAAGTACTATACGTCTTGAGCACTATATAACTATTATATGCCCTGAGCACTATATAAATACTATATGTCCTGAGCACTGTGTAACTATTATATGTCTTGAGCACTATATAAGTACTGTATTTCCTAAACACTATATAAATACTATACGAAAGGTTCTCTGCATTCTAGGGAAAAGCTATTAACCAGTCAAAAAATTACCGACTGTTCGTGAGTGTCTTTTACAACATATTCATATAATCCTGCCAAGTGACACTCGACTGTTCGTGAGTGTCTTTTACAACATATTCATATAATCCTGCCAAGTGACACTCGATTTCCTTTAGCATTAGTCCATGATTAACACGGAGTTGACTATCCAGATCGTGAGTCAAAATGTGTACTAACTTAATAGTTTAGGCAACTCTGTAAATTGCGCTTAACCGACCGTGTAAAATATGGTAGTATCAATATGACCATGAAAATTGAAATGCACTTTTTCACCTTCAAACAATGTATCTACTCATAAGGAAGTGTAAAAAAATGTTTATAAGAGTATAAAATAGAAACATCGTCCGGAGTATTGAGGCAATGGAATAATTCCAATTTAGCCACACACACCCTCCGCGGTGGGTAGAGCACAGATAGTTCTTTCTGTAGCTTTGCGCTTAACAACAAATAAATAAGCAATCAGTTTAGTCAGGTTAGAAATGTACACATGCAAAAAAAAGAGGGGAAATCACTGATTAAATCCTAAAGATTTTACAGTAATAATGGTGTATTTACAGAAGGTTTTAGTTTGTATACGTACCAACGTCTGTCATCTTGAAAAGCATGTATAACGTAATTTAAGTAAAAAATCAATATTGGTATTAATAATTTTAACCTGAACGGCACCTTATGCAACACTTGTGTACAACCGGCTAGGTTAATGACTCCTGCGGCTCGTCCCTAATTTATAACGTCTGACTAGAGTGAGGAGAAACCAGTTAGTAGCACTGTGCGGATGCTCTTAAAGAACAGCTTGACTGATTTTCACAGTTGTTTATGACACCCCCACAGCTGAAAGTGTGGAGCGTTATCAGAGGTTTATCGTGGCTCGAACCTTCGACCTTCCGATACGCAGCCCTGCAAGCCAACCATTCACGCCTTGCCCAGAAAATTTCAGTATATTGATTATTATAAGTGTCGTATTATTATTATGTTTCCAGGTCATACAGATTACGTTCGTAGTTATATCGATTTAAAATTTAGTAACGTTGTGCATGGCCGTTGTCTACAGTACAAAAATGTGCCCTTCTTAATGCTCAATCTCAAATTACAACTTCAGTCGAAAAGTATGAACCTGAGAAACGTTGTTAAATGAAGTAGTTGACGAGAGATATTGTCATTTTAATGAACTTTTAAGTAAGCCCATTTATAGTAATTATATATTTTTCTCTCTTCCTCTTACACACATTATAAAGAAACCAACAATATTAACAATATACGAGAAGTGTACGGTACACTGATGATCATAATTTCTGTTTCAAGTTTTAATCGTTTTTTTGTGCTTGCAACGCGAAATTTCCTGTCATTCGAACTGATGAGTTAATATAAAATATACTTTGATTGGAAGAAAATATACGTGGTTATATGCTACTGCTGCCTTACGCCAGATATAGATTGCTGTACACCTTTTTTCTTGCGTTTTTCTTACCGTGTCATGTAGCTAAGAAAAACGCAGAAGATGCACAACTTCACATGATAATGACAATAGTAGATCTGCCTAGAAGGTGCACAACTTCACATGATAATGACAATGGTAGATCTGCCCAGGCAGTGCACAACTTCACATGATAATGACAATAGTAGATCTGTATAGAAGGTGCACAGTTTCACATGATAATGACAATGTTAGATCTGCCCAGGCGGTGCACAACTTCACATAATAATTAAAATGGTAGATCTGCCCAGGCGGTGCACAACTTCACATGGTAATGACAATGGTAGATCTGCCCAGGCAGTGCACAACTTCACATGGTAATGACAATGGTAGATCTGCCCAGAAGGTACACAACTTCACATGATAATGTCAATGGTAGATGTGCCCAGGCAGTGCACAACTTCACATGATAATGACAATGGTAGATGTGCCCAGGCAGTGCACAACTTCACATGATAATGTCAATGGTAGATCTGCCCAGGCAGTGCACAACTTCACATGATAATGTCAATGGTAGATCTGCCCAGGCAGTGCACAACTTCACATGATAAATGACAATTTTAGATCTACCCAGAAGGTACACAACTTCACATGATAATGTCAGTGGTAGATCTGCCCTGCAATTGTACATGTTACAAAAACTATTAATAATTTAAAAGTCGATACACATGTCCAGCAAAATCTGACAAAAATAAACGTTTCAAAAACATACCCATTAGCGAAAGGATAACCAGCTAATCCTGCCGTATCGTACGGGTAATACACCGGAGCTGCGTATGGCAAGCTTCTCCAGGCTTCCAAGTTCTCTTTCAAGTCAAATCCGTTAGCCTAAATATATGACAAGAAAAAAAACAAGATGAATTACATGTATACAGGGAGAATATCACGTGTAAAAAGAAGAAAGTTAATTTTTTGTAAGAAGGGTAATCCGTAGAGTAACTCTATAGTTTTTATCTAACGTTTAAAGAAACTCAATAGAACTACCTTCTCCGTAAAATAAATCTTTTGATGAACTTATAGCCATTTCTCTTTTGTTTCCCGTTTTCAACGGAATGACATGTATAGTCCATAGTTTCAAGAAACGAAAACAAGAGTTAAGATTATTTGTTTACGAGAATCTGGAATTGGCATTTAAAATCGAATGTGGACGCAGGCTGGACTCTCGCTGGGAATCAAATTTGTCGACTTTTATGTTAATTCCTCTTTTTACAACGATATTCCAAACTCTAAACATTCATGGTGTTTTAACTGTTCTTGACCAATCGCAAGGAATCTATGTTTATTTAGGTGTTTGCAGAATAAGTGGCACTAATGTTACTGATTGTTTTTTCTTTTAACTTTCATTAACTACTTAATATCATGCAAAATTTTCTCCCATCGCCAACATTAAAGGGGGATATCTCCTCCCCTCGAAATCTGTCTAATTCAATGGCATAGGACAAATCTAAGAACAGGCAGAGCCTCACGCTGAAATTTACAATTTTATTGACGTAGAAAACGTTGAATTAAACAAAGCTCAAAATATTGTTAATTAACCCGATTTAGAAGTACTGTGTTAAAACCCAAATGAAATGATAAACTAGTTATTCTGTTTAATTAGTTGAGGTTTTTCTTATACACTTTACATGATCTTACTACTATATTTAAATAATTATGTTCTTCAGATGTTAGAACAAAAAAAGAAATAACCAACAGAAAGTCTTGAGTCTGGATTTGTTACATAAAAAACAAAAACACAAAATTCACACATAGTAACTAGAGGAAGTAACCGTTTCTTCTATTTTTTTGCTCGTTTGAAGCTAAGCACAAAGCTACACAATGGGCTATCTGTGCTCTGCCCACCACGGTTATCGAAACCCGGATTCTAGCGTTGTAACTCCGCAGACCTTCCGCTGTGCTACTGGGGGGGGGGGGGGCGTTTCTTTCACTTTGAAATCACTGACAACTGTTCAAAACGTAGACGGATAAGTGTAGAAACAATTAGTTCGCTGTTTCATGTTTAACCATGGTCAATAAAAATAGGTAATGTGTTTAGGCAAAACTTGAATTGCCAAGTTACATTTACTCCTCAATTAAAATTAAGTCATATAATTAATGGTTTGAAAGACAAAATTGAATTGAGGAATAAATGTGGTATATACAAACTTTCGTGTACTTGTGGTCTAAGTTATATTGGACAGATAAGTAGGAACCTAAAATTTAGAGTAAAAGAACATCAAAATGCTGTGGATAAACTAAAAACTGGTGAATCGGCTTTGGCGGAACATGTGGCGAATTTTACACATATTATTGAATGGGATAATATAAAAAATTTTAAACAGTTAACGGAAAAAGATGAATTAAATATAAGAGAATCTTTAGAAATTGTTTAAAACAAAATGAATTTAAATAGAGATTTAGGTCCAGGAGCCACCGAAATAAATTTTTGGAACTTATTGTTGTAAATGGTGCCATTGTACAAATGTGCTAATTATACATACTTTAGGTTTATAAGCAATGTTATGTGTACTTCATGGTTTATTCTCCTGAAGATGGTGGAATTATTTCCACCGAAACATGTAGTGTTTTATGTTTCTTTTAACTTGTATATCTTTTTAATTTTTTTAATTTTTATAAATAAATGAATGTGCAAGTAAAAAAAACGTTGATTTTCGTTTTATTATTTTATTTAACATTTTCGCACAAGAACTGTCTGTTGTACGTATTATAGTTTGTTCTGTTCAAATAATTTTTACTTGATAAATAACACGCTATATTCTTGTGTAAAGTAAAAACCATAACTAAACGAAAATTAACGTTGGGAGTAAAACTGTTGATTGACAGTGAAATATAGTTGAATATAATAAAACATAGAGTGTAAACTCTAAGGTTAGTTGTGTGAAGTAAAAAATCGTTGTGTGTTACAAAGAAAAGGTAATTGTGTGAAGTAAAAACCGTTGTGTGTTACAAAGTAAAGTTAGTTTTATGAAGTAAAAACAGTTGTGTGTTACAAAGAAAAGGTAATTGTGTGAAGTAAAAACCGTTGTGTGTTACAAAGTAAAGTTAGTTTTGTGAAGTAAAAACCGTTGTGTGTTACAACGTAAAGTTAGTTTTGTGAAATAAAAACCGTCGTGTGTTACAAAGTAAAGTTAGTTTTATGAAGTCAAAACTGCTGTGTGTTACAAAGTAAAGGTAATATTCTGAAATTAAAATCGTTGTGTGGTGCCTAAGTAAAGTTAGCTGTGTGAAGGAAAACCATTATGTGTTACAAAGTAAAGATAATGTTTGAAGCAAAAACTATTGTATGGTACCAGATAAAGATATCGTTGCGAGAAATAAAAACCATTGTTTGGTTGCTAAGTAAAGAAAGTGTTGTGAAATTAAAACTGTTGATTTGTTTTGAATTTCGCGCAAAGCTACACGCGGGCTATCTGCGTCAGCCGTCCCTAATTTAGCAGTGGGCTACTCTTTT